GTCCGGAAAATCTACAACAACTAAATTAAAATAGAACATTTAGCTGCTCAAGGCATTCCGTCTGCCCGACTTGGTGCTGAAACGTCAGGTACTACAATGCCAAGACCATAGCCATACAGCCTGGAAAATCTACAACAACTAATGAACTCTGGCCATGAAAGCCTTTGACAACACATATTTTAATTTGCTTGGAATCCCCACTTGCTGATATATAGACTTTTCACGCTCCTGTATTTTATCTCCTGCAATGAATAGTAATAGATTGTTGTACTTGTTCAGATGTACAGAGAGCTCCAGACGGGAGATGTATATTCACACATGCTTGTCTGTTTCCCATCCCTTCCAAGCACAATGCTCGTCTCACCCCCATCCATTTCAACTCCTTATTTATTTTGCTGCCGTTGCAGAATAGAAGTACTTTGTCCATAAACACAGTATTGCTTTGCTTCCTTTCCTATGGAAAGTCCAAGGAAGCCTTTACAAGTTCATGCCTTTCAGAGGAATAAGTGCATTAGAGTCTTATTGTGCATGAAAACTCTTCTATTAAAAATCTACAGCTTCAGGAGAAATGGCACAGAAGCAGCAGCCAGCTCTGGCCATGCTGTTTCTAAAGGCAGACTCACCACAAAGTCTAGAGCTGCTAAATCAGATCACACTGTCGTAGAGACAGAAACATTCTAGACCATCTAGTACAGCCCCCTGCTCGTTGGGCTGCTTTCACAGAGGTTCTGCTTCTTTTTCTAAAGGATGGGTGGCTGTTGGCTGCCTGTTACTTTCCCTTTAAGCCTCTGTGTTCACATCTGTAGCCCTGATACTTGTTTTCCAGGAAGTCCTGGGCTTGTGAGCCAAAATTGCCAATGGGACAACTGTAGTGGCCACAATGAATGCTAATGCTTTCCATCATGGCCAAACTACATGTTATATGAACTTTTGTGTAACTTTCCCTTACATTTCTTCAGACCTGTCTGGCTCTTTCCTCCTTTAGGAGACAAAGCAGCTGAGAAGGAGGGTTGTAAGAAGAAAAATGGCTGGCAGGGGAAAGTTTGTGTCTTCTTCCTCCCTGAGAGCCAGTTTGGTGTAGTGGTTGAGTGCACGGACTCTAATCTGGGAGAACGGGGTTTGATTCCCCACTCCTCCACTTGCACCTGCTGATGTGACCTTGGGTCAGTCACAAGCTCTGGCACAGCTGTCCTTGAAAAAGAGCAGTTTGTGTCAGAGTTCTCTCAGCCCCACCCACCTCACAGGGTGTCTGTTGTGGGGAGGGGGAAGGGAAAGGTGTTTGTAAGCCACTCTGAGACTCCAAGTGAAGGGCGGGGTATAAATCCAATCTCCTCTTCTCTTCTTCTTCTTCGTCACTTTTTATTGCATCTTCAAGCAGCTACCTTTGACTTTTTTAAAAAATGGGAGGGGGAGTTGCATAGAAAATGCCATAGTGTGTAGATTGGCCTGTAATCACAGGCTTCTGCCCTGGTTTGTACAGAGCTTCAAGAAGAAGATGGCTGAGGCATTCCTAGCTTGGATATAATGATTTTAGACTACTTGATGAAGAATCATGAATAACCTTTGTTGCAGGTAAATATTGATGGGTGGGGTATTAGTGATCACTTTCAGCCTATAGGGCAGACTTTCTTATTAAGAATAATTCAACAGAATCTTGAAGTGAAATTTTAAAACTGTTTGCTGTCCTTGTGGTTACAGAGAACATGACATTTTTGCTCCTTGATTTCTGTCGGGAACCTTTCTGGCATAATAAAATAAATGGGATTTGCTAAGAAGTATTTCAGTTGGGCTCTTTTTGGTCACATATAACAAACATGTTCCCTTTTCAGTATGCAGATCAATGGTGGTTCAGCTAATCAGCTCTTTACAAAAATGAAGGGGAGGGAATGGGACTTGAAGTGCGGCAGGTGGAAATGACTGTCCTGTAAGGTCGCTCAGCTGGACAGTTGCAAGGACTGAGAAGAATCTTTCTGTCTTATTAGCTTCTAACTGTTGTTTGAAATCTTACTTTGAATTATCACCTCCAAAATCCTCGTAACTTTTTCCCTTCCTTTCAGTTTGTTCAACATGAACATAATTAACCATCTATGGAAAGAGTTTACTCAGTGAGATCATGGAGCCAGGTTTGAGGGCATCCTATCTTTGAAGCTTTTATGTCCTTTGTTAGAGAATCTGTTTTCTGCCATATGGATGAGGAAATGGGCAGGAAGTAGGGTTGAGTGCTCATTAAATGGCATAGCTCTGTTCAGAAGGCTGGGAATTAACAAACAGTTCATCTACATGGTTCTCCTAGAAAATAATGCTGCTGTAAATTTGCAGGATTTATTTCATGGGTATCTGAGTGACCTACATTGAACTTGTGAAGTGTTTTTCTTGAAGCTCTGTCTGGGTCTTTCTGTTCCAGAGCCTCTTAGCAAGCAGTCATTAATTACAGCCCTATCAGGTTTAAGTGCAGAGCACAGAACCATGGGCTCAGGGAGAAGTAGCTGCACACACAGGGCTTCTGAGCCTGCTTCTTTCACATTGCATTTTACATTTATGGCTCAACAACATTTCAGAGCTCTAATTTCAAGAGAAGTGATCACTTCAACTTCTTAGAGGGTCATTTCTCAGAGTGGTGCAACCAGTTGAACAGCTTATGGGTAGGCATTAGAGGTGTGCATTTGGTCTATTCAACCCAGAAAACAACCCGAAAAACACCTTACCAGTATTTTCTGGATAGTTTTTCAGCCAGATACAGATAGCCGGTATTTATTTGGCTATCCAAAATAGTCAAGCCCCCAAAATCACACAAGTATTTGGGATTTTTTTGGGACCGCTGGAAACCCACAGTTAAAGTGCATTTAAAGTGCTTTCAGGCCCTTTAAATGCCTTCATAGTTCACTCACAGGCTCGCAGCTTGCAGAAGGCATTTAAAGGGACTGTGATCCCTTTAAAAACCTTCTTTCCCCCTCCATTGGAAACAATGGAGGATGGGGGCAGGAGAAGTGAGCCCAGCCAGGATCGGCTGTGGTGCATAGAGCAATGTGTTCTGTGTGGTACAGGAGCTCCTGGGGGTCGCTTCTCTAGCAGCCCAGTTTAAACCTAGGGACATATGCATGCCTTCACATTACCATGGTACTGGCTAGATTACTTTATTGTTCTGTACATGGGGTAGTCATTATCAAAAGTGTTAAGAGTAGTTTCAGATGAAATTTGGTATGTATTCCAATTATAGCATAAATCTGAAAATGGCATTGGTATAAAACCAGGGAGAGTAAAGTATATCCCAAATAGTTAAAGTGCTCTGTGCCTGGAACTTCCAGTGTCATGTGTTGATGAGGCCTAAGACATAGTAACCACAATAAAATCTGAAAATAGGATGCTTTTGCATCTTACAATCAAAATTCATTTTGATTTTATTTATTTAGTTTTATTTATAATAGAGGCCTGCATTGAAGCACAAAGTAAGCCAAATCATATTTGGGATGAAATGCTGGGGATTTCATTGTCCTTTAGGCTTGGGTTTGGGGGAAGAGGTGCTGCCAGTAGCAGCCAGAAATTTAGGACTATGCATGTAGGATATGTAAAAGTACCAGTAAAAGGCAAGTGGGAAACGTTGCAGATGCCCTTGAGTCCCACTTGCTGCTTTACTTTCATAATACTTTGCTGCAAGGAAAAAATGCATACACAGTCTCATGTGGCCAATAAAAATTTCTGTGCCTGCTGTGACTACACATAGTAGTAAGTAAGTTTGGTTGCAGCTTCCCTGAAGATAGCCATCATAGATGAACCTGGAAAAAAGAGTTGCATATATACGGAGCTGCGGTGGCTCAAGTGGTTAAGACGCTGAACTGCAGGCTGTGGAAGGTCGGTAGTTCAGCAGTTTGAGACCCGAGTGTGCCGCATGACGGAGTGAGCGCCCGTCTCTAGTTCCAGCTCCTGCCAACCTAGCAGTTTGTAAGCAAGAAATTGCAAGGAGATAAATAGGTACCACTTCAGTGGGACGGTAACAGCGTTCTGTGCGCCTTGGTGTTTAGTCATGCCAGCCACATGACCACAGAAACATCTTCGGACAGCGCTGGCTCTTTGGCGTTGAAACGGAGATGAGCACTGCACCCCTAGAGTCGGATTCGACTGGCTTTTGAGCAAGGGAACCTTTACCTTTACTTAGTTTTCATATACAAATGGCTTACCTGTTATCCCAGTATTAGCATGGGATGTTAGCAAACATAGTTATTCTTACTTTGTGGCATTTGAGAGATCAGAAGAGTAGTGCAAATTGGTGCCACCTGAGTTGCAACAGCAAGATGCAAGCTACTGCTTAAATGAGAAAGTAACTTTCTAAGTAAAGTAAACCATTTCCAGTTTTCCTCAAATTCCTAAATTATGTACTATATCCAGGGTCCCCAATGATGCCCATGGGTGCCATGGCGCCCACCAACTCCTTTTGGGGGGTCACCAAGTGTTTTTAGGAAGTAAGAGGGGCTGGGTGGGGCTGTTGCCCAGCAGGGCTTCTGACTGGCAACTGAAGCTCTGATAGACTATGGAGATTAAAATAACATTGTTTCAGTGGCAGCTGCCACCATATTTCCCTGTGTATTGTTAATTGTCCTTCATCTCCCCTGCACTTGGGCTTCCTCTGTATATGTGGGTTCAACTTCTGTGGCAGTCATCTTGTCATTGTGCCCACCACCCTTTGTCTGAATTCCAAAGATGCCCACAGGATCCCAAAAGTTGGGGACCTCTGTAATATATTAAGCAAAAAGTGCTGTAACTTGGTCTGAGTATGGCCCAGGTTAAAAATCAAAATAATGTATAGCTCTATCCTATGCAGATTCAGAGAAGGTTGAAGGGGGTTTCTCCTAAGTCACTATGCAACACAATGCAGTTTTGTTCTAGGAAGTGGTTCATGTTACCAGAGGTAGCTCATACAAGTCCTCAGTTTGCTGCTCAGCAGTGGTGCTAAGATGTGTGTTTCCATTCTGGCCAATTATTTGGTATTCTTTCTTGTACATCAGATTTGGCACAAGGACATCTGCACCTGGGACACTTAAGCAGGGACATCCGGTCACAACCCAGTTCCACTTCGCCTTCAGAAGGTCGGTCCCCAACCACTGTGAGATACCGAAATGGCAATCAGCGCCGCTTTTCCATGGAGGTAACTATACTTGCAAAGTATGGGAAATCTGTATGAGACGATAAGAGAATGGCCCCTTTTAAGTGCAATATAATGCTGGCTCCAGACTGTAGTCTTCAAGAATGAGCGGTCTACAGAGGCTTCACACTTATAGAAAATTGGAACATAGTGCAAGATGATGTGCTTCCCCTGAGGTACTCATTTAAATAACAAAGTTATTGAATTGAAACATAGGATCACTTATAATTAGGAAAGTTGTTCAATATTTTTCATCAAGATTGCAGGAAGGGAATGATATGCAACACTGGGCAGTGGAGCAAGGTCTAAAAACTCAGCCAGGCTGAGACAAGCCTGTGGGATGCAATGCAAGCTCGGGTAGTGGTAATGGGAATTAGAGAGATCTGGACAAATACTTGGGCTGCTTTGTCTCTTTGGAATGGAACACAATCCATGTAATACCATGTAATACAGGCATAAGAAGGCAACAACTTGAGAAATTTTGGTTTTTCCTCTTTTTATTTAGTAACATCTGGCCTGAAGAAGAGTTCTGGGGAACCCAAAAGTGTGCATGCATGCAGTTATGTCATTGGTTTGGTTTGAATAAAAGATATTACATGAGTTGTGTTCTTGGATCTTTGGATTTTCCTTTAGTACCAACATGGCTGTAAACAACTTCTCTCTTTGGAATGGAGCCAGAGAAGTTCCTCCCACACAGACAGCCCAGTTAAGCAGGCTGTGGGGGTGGGCTGTTGTCTCTTGGTCCAAGAGGCAGCTGTTGTGCTTGTCGTTGAGGGGGCAGGAGATAATGGGTAGTTCATAAGCTGCAAAATTCTAGTTGCAAAGCTTCAGGAAGAAGCAGCCTTTCTAAATTTGAGGGACTTGATGGCTCCATTTCAAACCAGAGTAATCCCATTCATTGCACTTGCTCTACAGGACTCCCTGTTTCCTGCTTGACTGCCAGTTTGACCTTAAGTACAACCTAAACAAAGTGGTGTAATTCTATAAATTTATTTCTTCTGCCTCACCTTTGACTTGAGAGGGCATCATCCCTCAACTCCTACTGCAGGAGCCATAACTGATCTGTGCTGTGTGACAAATGACAATTACAGCTTTGGGACTGTACCTACAGAATGTGTCTCTAGATAACATTTTAAAAGTTTAAAAAGTCTCAGCAACTAACTTTCTACTATTTTTTCATAGGATGTCAGTAAGCGCCTTTCTCTTCCTCCAGAGCCTTCTCTGCCTCCAGAGTTCCTACAGAAACTGGAGATGGAAAGTCCAGAAATTTCGAAGCCTCTTAGCAGGATGTCTCGTCGGGCTTCTCTTGTGAGTCTGTTTTTTTTTAATTATTATTATTATTATTGTGTGTGTGTGTGTGTGTGTTTGTGCTTGTGAGCCTGGAAGTCATGGTGACTTCTGGTGACCCCTAGTGGGGCTAGGACATTTCAGAGAGGTGGCTTTGATATTACCTGCTTCTGCATCCCAGCCCTTCCGAGTACTTCCCAGGGTCAGCCCTGCTTAGCTTCAGCCCTGCTTAGCTTCCAAGATCTGACAAGGGCATGAGTCCAATTTTTTGGCAGGCATTTAGGCAATACAATTCCTTGCATGGGCTTGCCCTCATATATTTGTACATATGATATTGTGAAAATTCCCATGAGTTCACTTACACAAATGGCTGAACACAGGGCAAACATTTAATTTAGTACTAGAAAGTCGTGTCATTTAATTATTCAAATGTGTCTGTGTAACCAATGAGACTAGAAAGCACTTAAAAAAAAAAGATCTGGGGAGATCAAAATTCTAGGGCAGAATGAAGAGTGAAATGTTATATCTGTCTCCCATTTACCTGTGCAACTTCTGCCTCTCTTGAATAAAGTATTACTCAGCTGAAGCAACTGTTCCATAAATATTAATAAGCTTATAAATTAACAATATATGTTCCTTTTAAACTTGCAAATGTAGCATTGTTATGTTTGTGGGGCATCCAATCACGTTAAGCCTACTTTACTTAGCTATCACCTTTACAAAAACAGAAACATCCTTAAGGCAAGGAAAATGGGGAGATTCACAGTCCTACCTGGGCTGTGACTGGGCACCCCATGTCTCTGGGGTATATATTTGAGTGATTCTTAGTTCCAAAAGGAACACTCTGGTATAAAATTAATTCTGTTTATTTGCTGAACTTCTTAAAATATTCCAACGGACTTATAAAATAACCAACATTACAAAGTGATAAGCAGCTATAAAATTGCAGCAACTTAAATTCAATCTCTAGACATCTGTCAAAAGTTGAAAGTCTTGCAGTGCTTTCTAAAGGGGGCAAATAATGTAACTGTAATTGTGATTGGCTGGTTCTACAAGTGTTTCTGTTCCAAGCACTGTTACATGGAAGTAAGTTCCACTGTTTCAACAGAATAGTTTTCTAACATATTCCAATATAGGCTGTTATCTTATTTCCAAGTAGGGGTGTGTGCTAGATATCCGGCTGGCATTGGCCAGGGCCAGGGCTTTCTCAGCCTTGGCCCCTGCCTGGTGGAACTCTCTGCCAAATGACATCCGTGCCCTGTCTGATATATTAAAGTTCTGCAGGGCATGCAAGGCAGAGATGTTCTGCCAGGGCTTTGGTTGAGGCCAGCGATAGTTCCTTTGGTTGAGGCCTGGCACACACACACACACACACCCGAAAATCTGAATGCTAAATATGCCATCTGTTTAAATATTTATGCTGAATGTTTTAATATTTAATTTTGTAGTTTTAACTGTTTTTAAAATTTTATTAGATTTTATGTTGTTGTAAACTGCCCTGAGTCCCACGTAAGCAGGGAAGGGCGGTTAAGAAATCGAATGAAATAAATAAAATAAATAAATAGGTATATACCGAGCTGAATACAGATTAGACAATCTGATTTGGTGACCGAAATAACCATGCCCAAATAAAAGCTGAAAATATTTGGCTTTTATTTTGGTGTGGCTAGAAGGCATTTAAAGAGACTGCAGCCTCTTTAAATGCCTTCCTTGCCAAGTCATGCCTCCAAAGCTGTGCGACTGGGCGAGTGAACTCAGAAGGCATTTAAAGTTTAAATGTGTTCAGTTCACTCACCCAGTTGCATGGCCTCTGCAGCACAACTCAGCTAGTGAACTGAAGGCATTTAAAGTTTAAATCTGTTCAGTTCATTTGCAGATTTGTGCTGCCTCCGTACAACTCAGTGAATGAACTGAATGCCTTTAGTTCACTTGCAGAGTTTTGCCACCGCAGCAGCACAACTCAGCAAGTGAACTGAATGCATTTAAACTTTAAATGCCTTCTGAATCTGCCGAGTCGTGCTGCCACTGTGGCACAACTCAGCAAGTGAAATTCTCCATTATACCCTAGGAGGATGGTCCCCATAGGGTATAATGGAGCCAAATAAATTCAGGCTTCCCAAATATTTACCCAAATACCAATACAATACCAATACTGGTATTCAGGAATATTCGAGAATACTGATATTTTTCAGGTCCAATGGACCCGATCGGAAAAAAACAACAATTTTTTTTGCACACCCCTACTTCCAAGTACCACTTAGAGTGCAAATCACTTCAGATACCTCAGGAATGTTAGACATTCTACACAGCAAACTGCTGCACTCCCCTTTCTACCCCCAGCTCAGCAAGATCTGATGCCTGAACCTTAGAAGGTTGTGGATCAAAATTTTTGGCCTGATCAGTCACAGACCTCTCAGCTGAGATATACATTATTACTGTTCTCTGTGAAAATATTTCTTTAATCTTTCTCCATGTGATGATGGCTATCTCTCTAACACCACCTGGAGCTGAAAAATAATTGTGCTTCAAAACAATATATGACTTTAAGCAAATTCATAAGCTTACTATGAAAACCTCTTATGACCATCAAAGGATTAATCCTGACTCTTCTGTTTGTGGATGGTTATAGACATCTGCTAATCCCAGTTACAGTGTTCAGAGTAAAACACAGCTCACATAGAAGAAAAAAACTGTATTCCTAGCCCCATGATATTAGATGGGGAATAAAACAAATTAGTCAGTTGCATGGGATGTCACCGGAAGAGGCTGGGGGATTAGTCTTGAGCCCTAACCAAACTGGGCCAGGATCCAAAGACACTGCAAACACCGTGGAAGAACCATACAGACAGCCAGAGTGTTCATTGTCATGTTTATATAGCATTTCATACAGAACAGTTTGACAGACTTGATAGAAAAAATTGAAAGTAAAAAAGATTGAATGTTTTATTTGCTGTAGAGTTCCTGAAGAGGAGACAGCAGTATCAATTACTGTTTTGGCACAATGGTGGGAAATGCAAGTATCTCCAGTTTGTTCCAGCACACAGTTGGTTGTGGTCCCTGCTGTTCTAACAACTGATTACAGTATATTTAGAGTTTGCTTTCATTTATTTCCCCACTGAAGTTGTTAAGGCAAGAGTCCTTCACCACATGTGATCACCATCTATGTTTCTGAGGGCAGAGAGTGGAAATTTCCTGTGCTGACTCTTTGTTTTTGTTGCAGTCTGACATTGGTTTTGGGAAGATGGAAACCTATGATAAAATGGACAAGCTAGGGGAGGTAAGAAAATACAGTGAAACATTATTATTACAATCAGCATTACACCATCTTTCTTTCTGTGTTGGGCCACCCCTATCGCAAAGTTTCAGGTCAGGGTAAAAAGTGTAAAAACACACATACTGCTCCAACTTAGCCATGTGTTCTAAACACCAGACCAAGCAGATAGATCTTATAAATGATGTGGAAATCTTGTTGGTTGTGCTTGGAAAAGTAAATTTAACTTCCAAAGACGACAGTGAGTATTACATCCCAGAATTCTTCTTTGGTTCAGATTGTATATTCAAACCAGAGAAGTGTTCCATCCTTCCCTGCTTCCACCTCCCTTTTTGGTGTTTATATCCATGTTAATGGCATTAGTAACTAACCGGCCATCAGTGGGTATGCTGGCAGAGTGCTTCTGTCCTACATACCACCTCCATCTTTTCCTTCCTTTCCCCACACTTCAGTTCATCTGAGAAATGCAGTGTGTGAGGGGGGATCTGATAGCTTTATGCTGGTGTGAGATATCCTTCTCCCTCTGGTAAAGGGGACCTATATGACTTCTGTAATCCTTTAACCCTTTACCTCAGGAGCCCAAACCTTTCCTGACAGATATAAAAGAATGGCACCGATTAGCGTGGTTTAAAATAAAATAAGGGAGCTGCGGTGGCTCAAGTGGTTAAGACGCTGAACTGCAGGCTGTGGAAGGTCAGTAGTTCAGCAGTTCGAGACCCAAGTTGCCGCATGATGGAGTGAGCTCCCGTCTCTAGTTCCAGCTTCTGCCAACCTAGCAGTTCGAAAGCAAGAAATTCCAAGGAGATAAATAGGTACCACTTCGGTGGGAAGGTAACAGCGTTCCGTGCGCCTTGGTGTTTAGTCATGCCGGCCACATGACCACGGAAACGTCTTCAGACAGCGCTGGCTCTTCGCCTTTGAAACGGAGATGAGCACCACAACCCTAGAGTCGGATTCGACTAGCTTTCGAGCAAGGGAACCTTTACCTTTACCTTTTTAAATAAAATAAGAAAGATTTATTCTTTATAAAAGGCAGGGAAATGGGAAAATGGTTTTAAAGGTTTGATATGAACCAAACAGCTGGCAACCCAAAAGTTCATAATATGAACACTATTAACACTGTTGAAGGCTTCTTAAAATTCAGGCAGAAATTATATAAACAATAAACTCTATAAGATGTTTCTTTAACATCGGCAGTCAGTTGTAATGACAGAGAACATATACGGTATAATGACTAAACCAGGGTTCCCCTGACTGGACACCCTTCTAAATACTGTGAGAGACGTTATGATGTTGTTTGGCTGGTTCAAAAATATTTCTCCCTACGCACACACTCAGTGAAGTCTGACTGGACTCTGAATCCCAACTAGTCCCTCCCTAGACTCTTCTCCCTTAAGCACCCTAAGGAAACTAGAAATGATATACATCTGAGGGTCCTTTCACTGACCACTCACTCTCAAGTACCCAGTTTCCTCCCTCCCTCTGTGCTGGAGATCTGTCTGTTCCTAGGACTTTTCCCTGGATAACCGAACTACAGCCCTTCCCTGTTTGTGTTGTTTTCCTTTTTAAACAGAGGTCTGGCCTTTGACTCTGGCAAAACCCCTCAGCAGCGTCTCATCTGTCCCTCTGCTCTGTGACACCCTGTCACTGTGCCACAGACTGAGAGTTTTCTCTCAGAAGGAAACCACTAAAAGCCCCTTCTCAATAATAACTCTCTCTCAGAACCGAGGTCTTCAAACTGTCAGTTCTCTCTCCAAGCTTCGAGACCTCAACTGCCTAACTGTCCAGATCTTTTTTTTTTCTCCCAGCTCCCTGCTGGATGCATTCCGTTGTCATGGAGGTGGCTCACCAATCAGAGTGAGCCTCTGCCACTGCCTACACTCAGACTGTTTTTACTTAGTTCATCACTGCTGGGCACTCTGGGGACTAGGTTTCCTAGCTTATATTTGAGTGTGTCACTTCTTGGATACACACCTGAACATGGTGAGGGGGTTTGTGTGTGTCACTGAAGCTGAGAGCAATACCATAAGGGGACTAGACTCTTCCAAGAGGCTAAAGTCTTAGCAGAGTGACTCAATGTGGAATGGTCACAGCTGACACCAGGCTTATGATGCATCCACTTCCTTCAGGAATCAATGACCACATCAGCAGAAGAGAACAGACAGTTCCAGTGGTGATGGGGGCAGAGGAAACCTTGAAGATTAGGTACTGGGCAGCAACAGCAGTAGTAGAAAGTGACACTGGCAGACTCTAATCTGGAGAACTGGGTTTGATTCTCCACTCCCCCATATGCAGCCAGCTGGGTGACCTTGGGTCAGTCACAGTTCTTTCAGAGCTGTTCTCTCAAGAGCAGTTCTCTCAGAGCTTTCTCAGCCCCACCTACCTCACAGGGTGTCTGTTGTGGGGAGAGGAAGAGAAGGAGAGTCCGAGTGAAGGGCAGAGTATAAATCCAACTCTTCTTCTTTTTCTTCTAATAGTGCAGTGAGATGTAACACAGTCAGGGGCTATAATGCAAAACCGAACTGAATAATATCAATCAGACTTCATAGAAAGTCTATCAGTATAACCATCATTCAGGTTTATGCCCCAACTACCTATACTGATGGGGAAGAAACTGAAAGCTTTTATGCAAGAAAAGGAAAAGGCACTAGAGATCATATTGCAAATTTATGTTGGTTACTGGAGCATACAAGAGAAGAAAATCAGTTTGTGTTTCATAGTTTACAGCAAAGCTTTTGACTGTGCAGATCGTGAAAATATATGTTTGGTGTTAAAAGAGAAGGGCGTGCCACAGCATCTGTATTTTATCTCTCTGTCTCTTCCATCTCTAAGCTGAACATATCATATGAAAAACTGGATTAGATTTAGATGGAGGTGGAATGAAAATTTGTGGAAGGAACATTAAGAATTTGAAATATGCAGATGATACCACATTACTGGGAGAAAATAGTAACTTGAAATGACTTTGCTGAAGGTTAAAGCAGAAAGTGCCAAAGCAAGACTACAGCTGAACATCAAGAAGACAAAAGTAATGAATACTGGGGAATTACACAACTTTAAAGCTGACATTGAAGAAATTGAGATTGTTCAAGATTTTCTGTTCCTTGGCTCCATCATCAACTAAACAGGGGGGCTGCAACGAAAAAATCAGAAAGAGATTGAGATTGGGAAGTAAGCATTCTTTAGTGTAAGGATGTGTCACTCACAACCAAGATCAAGCTAATTCATGCCATGGTATTCCCTATTACTATATATGGGTGTGAAAGCTGGACAATGAAGAAAGCTGATTACTTTGCAATGTAGTATTGGAGGAGAGTTTTACAGATACAATTGACTGCCAAAAAGACAAATCGGTGGGTTCAACATCAAATCAAGCCTGAACTCTCCCTAGAAGCTGAAATGACTGAACTGAGGTTATTGTACTTTGGTCCCATTATGAGAAGAGAAGAGTCACTGAAAGAGACAATAATGCTGGGAAGAGTTCAAGGCAGGAGGAAAAGAGGAAGACACAACATGAGGTGGATTGACTCTGTAAAGGAAGTCAACGTCCCCAGTTTCCAAGACCTGAGCAAGGCTGTTAATGATAAGATATTCTGGAGGACATTCATTCATAGGGTCGCCCTAAATCAGAAGTGACTTGAAAACACTTCACACACACACACACACACACACACGTGCCTCAGATATTGCCAAAACAACGTCTGAGGCACCAGGAAGTCCTGGCGGCCTACTCACCTGCAGCCATCACCAGCAGCCTGGTCAAAAAGCCTCTCAGTCGCTGCTGTGGTCACCAGCCTTGCCAAGTAAACAGGAGAAATAATGGAGGGCTTGAGGCTTCTAGGTAGAGCCTGGCTATTTACAGGCGATTGGAAAACTCTGAAACAAAGATATATTTTTTTCCCTTCCTGAAGTTCTCTGCTGCCTTTCATACATAATCTGGCTCCTTTCCAATTTGAGCTCCAGGGGTTTGTCCAGCTCTACTGGATACAAAAGATGGTCAGGCTTGGATTTTGGTATGTTTCCGCAGGGTGCCATAAATAGAAAGTAACAACCAAGAGTGTCTGTTTTGAGTCTTGCTGTCTAAACCGTGATGTACAGATGGTATCATTAAGAATGTACCCTTGATAGACCTCTGAGCCTGTGACAAAAGGTGTTAAGCCATCACTGTGTATGTTAAGCCACACTGTTCACGGTTTTATATATTTAAACTTGCATCTTGAATTGTGAATTTAAAACGAGGCCCTAAGGTTTCTATGCATTGCTGTGTGCATCTGGACTACCTAGTTAAGAGGGAAATTTAGCGCAAGCAGACAGATCAATGGCATTGTCTATATCATAGATTCAGAGTGTGCTTCCTAAATTATATGCAGCCTATATACTGAAATGCAATACAATTGAACCATGAAACTATTAAACTGTGCAGGGTTTTAGATAACTTTAATGCTATTATTTATTTATTTATTTATTTATTTATTTTATTCAATTTATACCCACCCTCCCCACGAAGGCAGGCTCAGGGCAGCTTACATAAAATTTAAAACAGTTAAAACAATAAATTTCTAAAAACCAATCATAAAGTGCTAGTGTGCCAAGTTGTAAACTGATGGTGAGACATAATAACAAATCATCTTAATAGCAGATCCTAATGGGGTACAATCAGCATTGATGTAGAACTATCTCAGTCCCTTCACACCAGCGATGCACAGACTGCAATGGTAATGCCAGGGCACAGGGGTCCCACGGTACGGCTCCTTAATTGAATGCCTGACAGAAGAGCTCCGTCTTGCAGGCCCTGCGAAAATGTAAAAGGTCCCGCAGGGCCCTGATGTCGTCCAGGAACTCATTCCACCACCAGTGTGGAGCTGCCACCGAAAATGCCCCGGCCCTAGTTGAAGCCAGCCTGGCATCTTTGGGACCCGGGAGGGCCAGACGGTTTTGAGACCCTGAGCGCCATGCTCTCTGGGGAACATGTGGGGAAAGGCGTTCCCTCAGGTATTTAGGCCCCTGACCATAAAGGGCTTTAAAAGTAAGAACCAGCACCTTGAATTGAATTCAGTATGCTACAGGCAGCCAGTGCAGTGCTTTTAGTGCAGGTTGCATGTGCTCCCACACAGGGAGACCCAAGAGCAGCCTGGCTGCAGCACTCTACACCAGCTGAAGCTTCCGGATTTGGGTCAAGGGAGGCCCCATGTAGAGAGCATTACAGTAGTCTGGTCTCAAGGTGACCATCACATGGATCACTGTTGCCAAGTCGCTGCATTCGAGGCAGGGAACCAGCTGCCTAATCAGCCAAAGATGGTAAAAGGCTGACTGAAGAGTGGCTGCTACTTGGGCCTCCATCATTAGGGAGGCATCCAAGAGCACTCCCAGACTCCTAACCTCTAGCGCTGGCACCAACGGCACCCCATCGAAGGTCGGGAGTGGGATCCCTAACCCCAGGCCACCTCGACTTAGGCTCAGGACCTCCATCTTCGTTGGATTCAATTTCAGTCAGCTCAGTCTAAGCCAACCAGCCACAGCTTGTATAAACCAATCACTGTGATTAATACTTAATTATTGGTTTAAAAAGCTGTTTTTATTAAAACTAAAATAAGCCATTTGAAACTGGATTAAAGTTTCCTGTGGTCTTTCTGTTTAGAAGAAGACTACAATGGAGTGATCCAGTTGTAATCCATTTTAAGAATGGTTGCACAGAGATCGAAACCTATTCAAGTTCAAGTTTATTATTATAATCCAAGATCAGAATATAAAACAGAACATACATTAATATATGGAAAATTCATTGATTACGTATCTGTATATACCTGAGCATTTAACATGAATATGTGCTAAGTAAATAAAATTGTTAAATTACATTTAAAATATATTTCAGTTTTCTTAAAAGAGGTCATAATCTTCTGCCTGATTGAGCTGGCCAGGGCACAAAATCTTGCTACCTTGGCGGTAGTTTCATTGCAGCAATCAGCTAAAAAGAGAGCAGAATAAAATTGATTGGGTCTGCCTGGAAAGGCAGCAGTAATTGGAGTGATGTACTTTATTTAGATCTCCTGATAAAAATGACAGTATAAAAGAATGTGCTCAATTGTCTCTACCAGACCAGATTGGCATGGACAAAGACAATGTACATATGGAGTATGAACATATCTCCCCTCAAGAAGGGCAGAGGGGAGGATATTAAGTCGCACTAGGGTAAAAGGTCTGCTGTATTTTGGAAGTTCCAATGAAAAAAGATAATTGGATGGAACAAAGTTTTGTTTTCTGCTTGTAAAGAGATATCCCATAACCTTTGTTTAATAATTTATCTAGCTCCTTTATAGCCGAGGTGCAAGAGAGTTATACTGGAGAAACCCAGTAGTGACAATTTACAATCAATAGTTGGAAGCCATCTTGAGCAAAAATTGTCTAGAAGAATTAGGGGAGTCAGTCCTGAGGGGGAAAGTTTTATCCTAAGCCATAAACAAATGGCATGAAACCAAGCCCAGGTTTCCAATGATATTAATCCAGCCTCTAGTTTAAGCAGAGCGTTTGGAATGCATCTTACTACTCCTAATAGAGATCTAAGAAATTTGGATTGAATTGCTTCAAGTTTGGAGTGGTTTTAATACAGGGATACCAGTGCGCCATGCATAAGCTTGGGGTACCATCTTTCCTTGAAAAACTTTCAGGGCATAGGGAATATAAACTCCTCCTTTAGTATAAAAAAATCTCAGCATGGCTAAGGCTGTTTTTGGTGCGGATTCCATGACCTGGGAAAGGTGAGCAGCTGATGAACCTGAGGATTGAAATGCAACGCCCAAATATCTAAGCACTTTGACTTGTTTTATCGGATGTCCATCTATTTGCCACTTGTGGATCTTGGGTCTCTTAGCAAAACAAGTACTTTAAGTTAGGTGTTCCTCGGTGCAATGAGTCAAAAGTGCTCAGAGGGCTCTTCTCAGTCCTACCTTGGTGCATGACAAAATGGCTGTATTGTCTGCATATAAAAACATGGGGGTAGGTTACACAGAGATCTAAACCGATTCAAAAACTTTCAATAATGGTGTTTTATATAAGGCAGTAATGAGTGGTGTCTGCTGCATAGTTAATCCCTGCTTGTGAGCTGAGCTTTTTTTAAAACAAAAAACTTTGGCTTCTTCCTCACAGGGCACCTATGCTACTGTCTTTAAAGGGCGTAGCAAGCTTACGAAGAACCTGGTTGCCCTGAAGGAGATCCGTCTGGAACATGAAGAAGGGGCCCCTTGCACAGCTATACGAGAGGGTAAGGAACAGTGTTTATTTCCAGAGAACAGACAGTGCCCATAGAAACCTCAGGCAGTTCTTTCCTCTCTTCTTCATAAGATCTCCTGGTTTGCTCCCATGTTTTCAGGCATGCACTTTCCAGTGCTCCCCCCTTGCCCCCATTCACTGTGACTGACGCTGCCATCTTTTTGCTTTACAGTTTCCTTACTGAAGAACCTCAAGCATGCAAACATTGTAACACTTCATGATATCATCCACACAACATGTTCCCTCACTCTGGTCTTCGAGTATCTGGTGAGTCTGAAAACTACTTTCTTTGAAGAAAGACTGGCTGGCACACGGCACTGCTGTGTTGACATTTTCTGCAGTTAGCTGACCAGCAGTATCTGGTTTGAACTTACATTTTATTTTTATTTTAAAATGTCTAACACAGTTTTGGGTCAAATAGTCCACAAACAGACAAATAAAAGAAACCAGTTCTATAATACATAATAGAAGATAAGCAAAAATGCATTGAAACTCAGATCAGAATAAATCAATGTTGGTTTTTATTAATTAAAAAAGATGGAATTTTGAGCAGCATTCAAAGAGAAAAAAAATCAAACATGGGCAAATGCCCCCCCCCCCCCCCAAGTTTTAACTATGCATCAAATATAACAGGCAAAGTGTAAGAGCCACCACTGAGAATGCTGTGTCCCCTGTATTTCCCCACCACAATTCTGACAACAGGGGAATATGAAACAAATTATTTCCTGAATCTCTTGGTGTAGGATAGGTTGATACAGGAGAAGGCAATCCTTCAGATACTCTGGTTCTGACATCTTGAATGGGGCTGGGAAACCAACTGGTAGCCACTTTAGTTCTTTCTGAATTGCCTGGTCTCCCCTTGTTAATTACATGGCATTCTCATTGTGAATCATCTGTAGTTACCAAATACTGTCAAGGGCAGTATCATGAGTCTATATGATGCCAAAACTAGGAGTGGCCCACACAACCATTGTTTACCTACATTTCTGATGGCATAGCAAATTGCAGTGGAAATGCTATGTAGGGAGAAGTGGAAAGTACAATTTTCCTAGCAAATTTTGGTTTTAGTGTTGAGGGGAAATTAGGAACTCTCAGTTACTGATGAGTTATGACCAGGGGTTTTTTTCTGGGGGAACGTGCCAGAACGGAGTTATGGAATCTCTTTAACATAATTCTTTTTAAAATGTTTGAAAGTTCATGAGTTTTCAGTATACAGATTAGGCTTGCCAGGTCATATCCTCCCCCCCCCCCAGCGGGGGGGACTTGGGGTGTGTGCTGGGAGGCGGAGGGGCCACCCCAATGCGATAATATCACATAGAGTGCCGTCATCACATCAGGGATGCTGTGCCGTGTGCGCACACCTCCCCTTGCTTTCCTCCAACCATTTAAAGGGAACCTTCCCTTTAAATGGTTGGTGGAAAGTTGGACTGCCAATGCCTGCCCTGCAAGTCTTTGCTGCCTGCAGGTCAGGCACGAGTGGGTGCCATTCATGCCTGCCCTGTGAGCCATGAGATTGCCGCTTGCAAGACAAGTGCGAGCCGCTCCCGCTCTTTTGAAGCAGGAGTGGCTCGCAATTGCTTTGCAAGTTGCGATTTCGCTGGCGGCACCTGCTTTAAAAGTACAAGTGCCGCTTGTGCCTGCTCTGCAAGCCCTGAGCCACTGACAGCCTTTGGGCGCGCGGCCCTGCCTCTTCCAAACAGCGTCTCTTTGAACACTGTTGGGAAGGGGCGGGGGTTGCAGGCACGCGCAGCCACCCCTCTTCTTCCCTCTTCAAAATTTGAAGGGCCAGCTGGAGGGCCCTTTAAATCTTGTAGTAGGGGGTTGCTGGGTGGTCATTCTTGGGGGTGGGGCTTCCACCCCCTCTGGCCAGGTGGGGTGGAATCGAGAAACCCCGGTGGGGCCGGAGATATGGCAACCCTAATACAGATTGAAAACTTTGTTTCTCTCTTGAGAGTTCCAGCACTTCTTTTTCAAAAAAAAAGAAAAAGAAAAAAGCTCTGGGTATGACTGAAGGACAGATAATTCGGATTGCCTCTGCTGCAGGTATGTTAGCTGGGAGAATTTTTGATCCTCTGCAACAATTTAGTAATAGCTGTCTATTTCCTGCATAATAAAACAAACATCTGGAAATAGTGCAAAGGTTTGATCTGTGTAGGAAGTCTCATAGTCCTGTGCTTAGCCTTAGGGAGCAGCCCATTGAAAGTGTACACTGCAGTTCTGGCCTGCATTCAGCCCATCCGCGGGGAGGGCGGGATAGAAAGCCAATAAAATAAATAAATAAATTCATGCTAAGCTGGCATTCAACTTTATTTGCCACAGTGGGAGCGAATGCAGGCTGGGCTGGATCTGGTGGAGGATTTCTACAGCCAAATAGGTGGGGTGACTCCTGTGGGAGACCCTGAACCTCCCCCCCTTGTGATGTTCTAAGGGTCCCCATGAGCAGTGTTGTGGGGTGCGTTTTATGCTGGAGAGGTGAGGCAAGCAAGTCATTCTCTGCATATCAAATCCCTTCTGCCAGTAGAAATATTTTGTTGGATCCAAGCCAATATTTGTTGCTTTGCTCTTCCCTTCTCCCTTCTTGTATGGAGAATAAAAACCAACTGCAGTTGCCCATGGTATCTGAATGCAAGTGCCTGGCAAATTGGAGTTTGTTTCTACTACAAAGAAAGACAATCTCCAACTGGCCAGGCAGCTGCATTCAGAGATCATGGGCAATTGTGGTTTATTTTCCAACGGAGCTTATTTTTGTGCTCTGCGTGAGAAGAAAAGGTAAGAAAAGAGAAATGGGAGCGCACGCAGTGCAACAAGCAAGCAGCAGCATCCATACAAGTAATCTAGCATGACATCTGAGTGCAACGCTGATATGATGGGGAAAATATTAATTGACTTGCGTTTTCTGTTGCTGAGGAATTGATTTTTTAAATTTAAATAGGACTTCAAGTGTTTGCCACTTGCAAGATGTTTCTAACATTTTGTAATGGTGCTTCATTCTTCAAGGTCATTTAGGCCCCTCAGGACATGTTTTTATTTTCAGGACAGTGACTTGAAGCAGTATCTGGATAACTGTGGGAATCTGATGAGTATGTACAACGTAAAGGTGAGTGAGCAAAGAAGATGGATGCACTTGATCACCTGTAAGATGATGATTTCCATTCAGTTTTAGGAATTCTTGCTTCTGTTCTGTTTTTCAGTAGAAAAGAATGAACTTTTAACTGGTCCTTGTCTCTCATTTTGTTGCCACTTCAAGATCTTCATGTTTCAGCTGCTGCGTGGTCTGTCTTATTGCCACCGACATAAGATCCTGCATAGAGATCTCAAGCCACAAAATCTGCTCATTAATGGGAAAGGGGAACTGAAACTTGCTGATTTTGGTAAGTTGTCATCATGAGGCATGCACAATTCCAAAAGGATTTTGTTAGGGTCAGAACAGGAAGGTCATACGACACTGCTGAAGCACCATTCCTTAGATCTCAGTGATGAAATGGTACACAAAGTATATTGGGGGTCACTCTCTGTGCATGTGTTCACACACATGTGCATATCACTGGTCACTCCAGATTTTTTTATTGGCACCCAGGCATCATTGTAGTGTTCAAAACAGAAGAAACTGAATTTCTAGCATTTCATCTTAATTTATTTCCCATTTACAGAATTTTCTTCACTTTTGTCATTCATTTCTGATACAGAAGCTGAAACAATGTGACACATTTTTTTACAAGTATTTTTAAAGACTTGGTCTCACAAATGCCACAGTGTTTTTACACAAGTGTACCTGTCAGTTGCTACTAGTAGTGACTACTGCCAGTATAATGTCACAGCTTGGGATGCTACATAAGGAGAGAAGTAAGATCTGTCTTCCAAATCCAAAGAGCCATATTTCCATCGTCGCTCCTGTTGGTAGCAAAATATAACATGCAGTCAATGCGTGTACACATAATAGTCAACCGGGTACACAGAGTTTAAAAACTTAACTCTTTGTACTGCTCTGTTTATGTGAAACGAGAAGTGTGCCTTCTGATGTCTCTCTTGCACCTTTATCATCTGATACCAACATCACACAGAGAGTCACAACCAGGCAAGAAGTCTCACTTTTAACTGTGTGTATCACCACAATCTGTCTTTTTGGGTTATGGTGAGCTTAAAATGAGAGCACCAGATTTTACTAAGTCAGAGCTCTTTGGAAAACAGATGGTGTTAACTTACATTTAGATATGAGTTTAACTACTTTTCACTCTCAGGTCTAGCCAGAGCCAAGTCTGTTCCAACAAAAACTTACTCCAATGAAGTGGTCACTTTGTGGTACCGGCCTCCTGATGTCCTACTAGGATCCACAGAATACTCTACTCCCATTGACATGTGGTGAGCAGAAGGTCTGTGCGCTTGGGAGAGGGTGGGTATCCACTTTGGTGTAGTTCTGAGAGTGTCAGACTAGGATCTGGGTGAACTGGGTTGAAACCCCCAGTCTTCCATGGAAGCTCTCTGGATGACCTTGGGCCAATCACACACTCTCAGCCTAACCTACCTCACAGGGTTGCTGTGAGGATAAAATGGGGAAGGGGAAGAGATCCGTGCCTCCCTGAGCTCCGTGGAGGAAGGGTGGGATAAATTAGATACTCTGATTTTTTCTCTCTCTACAGAAAAGAACAGTAGCTCCCTGTCTTCATTTTCTGTACTGACCATTGGTTCCAGAACCTGTGGGGTTCATAGCGTTCAGATTGGTTCATGCTGCTGAGGAGATGAGAAGGCTTATTGGGGATTGCTTCTGCATGTTTTTGGAGGCGTCTGCATTTTGCTGCCGATCAGCACACAAGGGAAGGAGGTGGGGCAGGGGGCAATATCTGCCTCCTGCTCTGTATCCTACATCGTTATAGTCCGGCAACCAAGTATCACTGTGGTCATCCCCTTTTCTCTGCAGAGGCTAAAGCAGTGAGAAAAGGATTTAACAGGATGGGGGCCATGAAGGGCCTGATCAATACACGTGTTCATATCCTTTTGTTGGTCTGCTGTGCTTAACAAGCTCTTCTCCTTTTAGGGGCGTGGGTTGCATACACTATGAAATGGTCACAGGGCGTCCCATGTTCCCAGGGTCAACTGTGAAAGAGGAGCTGCATTTAATATTCAGGCTACTGGGTGAGTCTTCCATATTGTCTGTTCCTTGTTGTTCATTGGAAGTGGTGGGATTCTGTCTTACGCTGAAATGAATGGAAGATTCAGTAAATTGTGGCATTAAATAGCCATATATAAGCTGGCAGGTGATGGGATTCTACACACTGCATAAAGAAAAGCCTGCTTTGTCAAGACAACCCAAATTGTATTGCACATCTGCATTTATGTAATTGAATCAGCTTTCAAGAACTGGAGCATAAAAAGTAAGGAGGGGGGCAAGAAAAAAATGGCTATTTGGGTTAAGTAAAGCAAGCAGTGGGGCGAAGTTATGGGATTAATGCAGAGAATGTTGTGAAAGAGTATACAGATAATTTAGTTCCAGAGCATGAACAACCCAGGTTCTTCTCCTGAGTCTTCGAGGCAGACTTTAAATAACATAATTTTTTTTTAAAATAATCATATTCAAACGTTCCTGTGTGGATCTAACTTGGTGATTGTGTATGGGCTTCTTTGCAGAGAGGTGAATATGTGTGTATGTTTTAATTTTCAGGTTTGTAAATGCAGTGCTGGATATCGGATGACATCTTATTTAGTGCCCCAGGTGGAACGAATGTGTTTTCAGCCGTAGTGGTAGAGCTTAACCTGCCTTCTTTCCCCAGGAACCCCTACAGAAGAATCCTGGCCTGGTATTACATCCAATGAGGAGTTCAAGGCTTACAGCTTCACGCAGTATCGAGTCCAGCCCTTGATAAATCACGCACCAAGGTAAGTCAGTGTTCATATTGTCTCTTTATTGGGGGCTGTGAACCATAAATGGGGGAGGACCAGAGGAGAAAAATACCAGTATATGTATGGAGTTCTTTTCTGTCCCAACATGCGTAAATCAGCCATCTCTGTTGTCCCCTTTTTGAGGGGAAGGGGCAGGCCCACAAAACCTCTTCTGTTTATTGGCTTTTCTGAAACTGCCACTAGGTGGCACCAGTGTTCTGCAGCCCAGCCTGCTGTAGGCAGAAAACAGGCCTTTATTAACCTGCTGTACTGCCTCTGCCCCAAGAAAGAACCTGTATTTCCAGCTGAAGAAAAATATTTTCTAAATGATTGTAGCTCTTTTTTGGAGGCCTATTCCTACCAGCTTGGATGTAGAAATGTCATGCCTGGGTACAGCAAGCTCCTTTCTTCTTTTCCAGACTGGACACAGAAGGAATTGATCTGCTGACGAGTCTACTCTTGGTAGGTGACTTTGGATGCTAAACTAGATATCAGAGGGAGCATAGTTCACCTCCTGGTACGTCTGTGCTGCTGCTTATTTTCAGGGGTTAGTCCCAAGTGCCATAATTTTTGTTCTCTCCCAGAAGTTGAGCAGGGAGGCCCCAGATGCGTAGGGCATCCCAGCACCAACTAGAAGGGCTGTCACTCTCAAGGCTCCTCTAATTCTTGACAGTTTTAGAAAGGCCTCTTGGTGCTGGCTTCTGTTCAGAAATAGAAGATGGGTTGCGCTCATACTGGAATGATTTGAAAATAACTTTAAAAGAGAAGTCCCCTTTTCCATCCCCATTCAATCTTTTGGAACCTCAGCCTTAGCCATAGAAAGATTAATATTTGTTTGTGCATTAACATTTCTGTCCTGTCTTTCTCTGCAAGTGGACTGTCATGTGGCATCAAATTGAAGCACAGATCACATTGATTTTGCCAACGCATAAGATAGCATGGACAAGCTTTTGCCTTTTCTTTTTTTAAAATTGAGCTAAACATAGCCTGACTGCTGTCCTTCAGTTTGGAAATCTTCAGTAGCCATTGGCCTAGCCCCTGCCACACAAGACTGAAGATCAGAGAGTCCTGAACTCTGGCTTTGGTTCAGTGTGTACTGCAAACATTCCCACTTCAAGTAAGCCCAAGTAGTTCCAAGATAATTAGAGCAGTGGCAGTTTGTCCTCAGCTGGAGAAAATGGAACTAACTCCCATCTAGAATTAAGTGAGAAGAAAGGCCCAAGAGTGGTACCCTCTTATAGGGTATCTCAAAGCAACTATCGTGCTTCAGCATGGTCTGTGACTAGTGGCCATTGTTGCAACACAATGTGATGGGACCTGTTGCATTTTTGTGCATACCTGTGTTCTCTCCAGCTTTTATAAATACCCTTGGCCATGTCTATGGTGGCCTGATTTTGTTGCTTTCAGTATTGGCAACACAAGTGACGCCACAGTTCAAGATTCAGCTGCAGCTGTTAGTGGGGCACAGAGAATAAAAATTGGGGAATTGCTCCAGGCCCCATAAACTTACAAAGCAGACAATGATTTCTGCTGATTATTTGGGCCACAAGACCCACAGCACTCTATTCAGTGCCCTTAAAATACTTTGGAAAGAGTACAGAAGACAGGCTCCCTTAGCAAGGTGCCCACTGCTGTGTTTGTTAGGCAGCTTTATACATCCTCTTGGGAACTCTGCACGCAGGCTGTCAGAAGGGGCCAGGAAGGCTCAGGCCACTTTAACAGGAGACCAGAATAGCCGTTTGCAGAGCACACTGACAACCATTTGATAGCCATTTTACCTGAATCAGGCCCCATAAAGGCCTCACAGGACAAAACTATTAAGTAATTTAACTACCATTGTGTCTTATAGTAATGTGTGATGGAACATTCTTACTGGGTAATGCATTGTCCTTGCATCTGAAAACCTACAGGATGGAATGATTTCATGCAGAATTAAAGGGGGGAAGCAAAAGAGTAGCAAAAATCATTAGTATCAAAAGTATGGGATATTAATATCTTTGAAGTCTTGGAGTGAGGACAAGATCGTGGTGATTGAACTGTGACTTTTGAAGAGAGAGAACTATCCCATTCCTGTCCCCTCATGAAAAGCCAGTGATTCAAAATGCCTTCCATTTGTTAGGATTTCCACACAGTGGGTGTCTTAATATTAAAGGGTTGTTATTATTTTATTTTATTTTATTTGCTACTTCTTTGTAGCTTCAGCAAGTGTAGAAATTGCTGGAGTGGAATGTAATATGTGAACCAGTCCTCAGAAGACAGATTTGCCCCAGAAAACATAGAATGGCTGATCATAATGGAGAACTGACACCATATCTCCTCACATGCTTGCCTGGATCTTTGGTATTATCAAGTCCAAAAAATCATAATCAGTGAACTTAAGAGAATTGTTAACTCTTTGAGGGGGAGGGAAGTTTGATTGATCTTTGCTGTCGAGATTCTTTTGTTTCCTGTTCTCGTTTTCCAAGGAGAGATTGTTCTGCCCTGTAGCTACTGCTTGACCTATCTCAGCTGAGCTAAAACTGAAGTATAACTTATAGAATCATAGAATCAAAGAGTTGGAAGGGACCTCCAAGGTCATCTGGTCCAACCCCTGCGCAATGCAAGAAATTCACAATCCCCTCCCCCTCACACCCCCAGTGACCCCTGCTCCATGCCCAGAAAATGGCAAAAAAAAACCCTCCAGGATCCTTGGCCAAACTGGCCTGGAGAAAATTGCTTCCTGACCCCAAAGTGGTGGTCAGCATTTCCCTGGGCATGTGAAAAAGGCTGTGTAAGAAAACTTATAGATTTTCTCAGGTGTAGTTGATTTTCTTATGGTCAGCAAGACAGAGACACATAGTTGTGTTTGAAATCCATGGAAGCTCTTTCCTCCTGATACTAGCTTTGTTTCCTTTTAATGTATATTTTTTAAAGGAAAGATGCTCCATTCCATAGTCACAAAGACCATACAATCTTATTCACTGTATAAAAATAAAATGTGCATAAAGAAGTGTTTGTAGCCCCACAACAACCCTGTAAAGTAGATTATGGTGAGAGTCACTGTAGGGTGACTAGTCACCCACTCTACGCTTTCCACCTAATGTGCCATGCAGAACTGCCACATCATGAAGTGACATACACAGAGAATTTTCTTACACCTAGCTCATATAAAATCATAGAATGTAACAGACAGTACAAGCAATTACTGTATAAGGCAGGGGTGTCGAACTCATTTGTTATGAGGGCTGGATCTGACATAAGTGAGACCTTACTGGGCTAGGCCATGTGTGTCATAAAATGTAATGCCAGGTAGCGGGGATATAAATTTGATAAAGGACACAAACACAATGGGTTTTTTTTTACTTAAAATAAAATCATGCTTAAAACATTAGCACTCTTGCAATATTTTGTTTATTTAACAGTGTCTGATAACTGACACCTCTTGCATCAAAATGTCTGTGCTGTTGCAATCTTGAGTATGCTGTTCAGGTGTGTATCTGTAAGCTACAAACCTATGATGACGCAGCAGCAGCAGAACTGGAAGAAGCAGCAGAAGACAGCCAGTTCCACTGTGGGCCTGATAGAAGCCCTGCGGGGGCCTCATCTGGCCCCCGGGCCGCATGTTTGACACCCCTGGTATAAGGGATCTTGGGGAAACAGAGCAGTCATCTTGAAATACTGAGCTAGTGTATCTGACAGTCACTGGCCTCCATATTTCAATGAAGAGGAGACCAGGAGAATGCAAGGCTATTGTAGGTCACAAAATCATGGCAGCTGAAAGATGGCAAGAAGTTGGGTGCAAAATGGTGATTTATTTTGAAAATGTAGATAAGAACATAAGAACATAAGAGACGCCAATGTTGGATCAGGCCAAAGGCCCATCCAGTCCAACACTCTGTGTCACACAGTGGCCAGAAATACCAGTGCCATCAGGAGGTCCAGCAGTGGGGCCAGGACATTAGAAGCCCTCCCACTGTTGACCCCCCCCAAGCACCAAGAAGACAGAGCATCACTTGCCCCAGAGCCCCTAGCTATACCTTGTGGCTAATAGCCACTGATGGACCTCTGCTCCATATGCTTATCTAATTCCCTTTTGAAGCCGTCCATGCTTGTAGCACCCACCACTTCCTGTGGCAGTGAATTCCATGTGTTAATCACTCTTTGGGTGAAGAAGTACTTCCTTTTATCCGTTCTAACCCGACCACTCTGCAGTTTCATGGAGTGCCCACGATGACATCTCTCCAGAACCTGCTCAAAGTGGGTCACAGCTAAAATAATACCAACAAGTTAATAAACACAAATCAAGCCAATAACACAATATTAAATCAAGCCAGTAAAGACATGCCAGGACATAAAAGCAGCGTAACACAAACAGAGCTGTCCAAAATGATATTGATAAAATGGTCCTCAGGCTCAGAGTAGACAGACAGCATAAAATGATGGATTCCCTTAGTTTAAAAACTTGGTAGAAAGAAATGTTTTGGCCTGGCACCCAGAGGAAAACCAGTTAGGTACGAGGCAAGCCTCAAGAGAAGGGCATTCCAAAGATGAAGTGGTGCCACCAAAAAAGCCCCAACTCTGGTCATCACCTGCCTCACCTCTGCACACGGGAGCCAAGTACAAAGAGCAGGGCTTAAAAAGAGTACCTTCCGGCAGGCTGGACAGTACAAGAGGAGGCAGTCCTTCCAGTATCCTGGCCCCAAGCCATTCAGAGCCTTAAAGGCACTTACCGATGGGCAGCCAGTGTGGATCTTTCAGCTCAGGGGTGATTAACAGTCACAGTATTCAACTTTCCAATATAACCTGCCTGCCTTGTTTTGGACAAGTTGAACTTAACAGTTTTCAAGGGCAGCACCATGTAGACCGCATTACAGTAAATACAGTAATACTTCTCTGATACTACTATTTGTCTTTCAAGTTAACATGTTAGGTTTAGTGTGTACCCTTGGTTTCATAAACAGCTATGCAGATACACTGATATATTTGAACCTGCATCTCAGTGCAGTATGTAAATATACACAGACTCATGAAAATGTGTGTAATCCATTCTTTTCTTTCTCCTTCCCCATTGGTAGTATGATGCCAGAAGACGCATTTCAGCTGAATTGGCCCTGCGACATCCTTACTTCATGACTCTGGGTGAACGAGTGCATCTCCTTCCTGAGAGTAAGTGCGTATGACCAACTGAAATACTACAAAATGATGCAGTTGGGACTAAACCTGTCTGAACAATACCGTATAAGGAGTACAGCTACAACTCTCTCTTGCTGGCTATAGACAGGAAGGGAAGCCTGTTCTCTCAGTAGGCATTGTGATGTCTGACTTTCCAGCCTGCTACTTGCCATGCAAACCATAGTAGTGTGTTTCACCAGAAAAAGAAAATGGTAGATCAAGAACTGGGACGGTGAGAATGCTTAGGCATCCCCAGCTATTCTCTCGAAATGCTTATTATTGAAAAACTAGCCACCGTTGACCCTCCCAGGAGTGCTGTAGTCCCAGCATCATGTTGAAAGGGGCAGTAAGGGAAGGGCAAACTATTTGGGCTTTTACAGACTGGGTTCAGGTTTCCTCCAGCCACACACTAGCTGCAAATGGCTTTTCAAAAATAAAGGAGAGGCCAAACAGGCTTTCGATGCCATGGGGGGGGGGGCTCCTGCCTCCCCTCCCCAGCCATTTTCCTGAACAGAAGCAGCTCGGTGGGGGAGGTATTTCCCTTGTTTTTTTGCTGTTTCACATACACCGAATACTCCACATGAAGCAGCAACACTGGGGAAATACTCCCCCCCCCCCGCCGCCGCACTGTTTTTGCACGGGAAAATGGCTTGGGGAGGAGCTCTTCCTTCTCCAGTGGCGCCATTTGCACTGTCTTTAAAAAACAAAAAGCCATTCACCACGGCTGCTATGCGGCTGCAGGGGACCCAGTCCCAGCTCATTAAAAACTCAAAACATCTAGTTTGGTCCTATGTGGTCACTTGCTGGGTGGGGACAATAGTAGGAGATGTAGTTTTAAGCATTCTTCCTTTTGGCCCAGCACATTTCTGGCTTATCAAAGTAATGTTGGGGGCAGGGGGTGTTTAAGAGTTGCACTGAGAATAGAAGCATCCTATAGCATTAGCGTTTCCAAACAATGATTGGCACAATAACGGCAGTTGTGGTGAAGGAAGGGGCACATTGCATTAAAAACTGTGCAGCCTGCTTTGAGCACATTATTTCCTAGGAACAGAAGCATTCCCTAGGGGAACACCATTTAGATCCCTTGGGAGTATTGGTTTAAAAACTGCATGTCTCAGAAGGCTTAAGCTGTTCAGGGTGTGGAGCATTACAGCAAGGACTCTACAGACATTCTGGATCTCTGGCTCAAACCCACCTGTCCAGTATACCTACCTTGAGCAGTTCATACCAGTACTGCACCCTTTGTGCTCTGGGATATAAACAATGGGCCCTGTGCTTGCAGTACTGACATTTAAGACTGCAAATCCTATGAATGCTTTCTTGGGACTAAACCATTAAACTCTGGAATTTATTATTCAGTAAATATGCATTGGATCAGGATGGCAAATAACTGGCAAAGATGCAGTGCCATATATTCTGCACTTCAGTGATGGATACTCATTGGTACATTTACTGATCTGTCTCATTCCCACACAGCAATTGTAAATAAATAAAATAAAATCTGAGCCAAATTCATAGATTGCACACCCAGTCCTTTCTCTGTTTCTCCTCTTTTCCTACAGCTGCCTCCATCTTTTCTCTGAAGGAAATACAGCTACAAAAAGATCCTGGCTACCGAGGATCAGGCTTCCAGCACTCGGGTAGGTACCTGTTCCCATTAGGGGCTGGTGGGTTTGAAGCCTCTTGCAGAAATATGTTGGGTTCTGGGCTGCTAGATCATTCAGTTATAAGACTGAAGTGCACAGGAAGCCTGGTGGGACTTCAGCTCATTGTACATTTTTTCTTGGGGGCACTGTCCTCTAGAGGAGGAAGAATGTTGCAGTACGGGAGACATTAAGTTCCAAAAAACAGGGGCAGTTGTTGGGGAAACTACCAAAAGGGCTCTTGGTAGTCGGATTTCTTCAATAAAAAGGGTTCCCACAATAAGGCTTCTTCAGCTGACCTAAGAGTATGAGCTGGTGTGTACAGCTGGAGGAGGTCCACTGGCGGTTCTGGGACCCAGGCTAGTGAACACCAGGCACTTTGCATTGGGCTTGGAGGCTAGAAGAATGGACTAAAATTATGACACCAAAGGCCTATACTGTCCAAGGACTTCAATAGACAATTAGGCAACTTTTGTCCTTGGAAAATGTACTCTTAGACATTTTGTTCTGGGTTATAAAAGCAACATGTGGCAGAAAAAGAAAGAGCCCAGACTGGCACCTTAACCACTTTGAATGAGCTTCATACTCAGAGCATCCCTCTCCCTTTGAATCCAGAGAAATGTAATTGACAGGGCAGTCTGTGGGAACTCCTGTCTCTCATTGCCTGTGATGAGTCCTCAGTGTCCAGAACAAAGACACTCTTGGTCTGTCAAGGTGTCGAGCAAAAGTGATTATATTGGACTGCATCCATGCACAGCTTTCACAGAAGATCAACTTCTGGGAGCTTTAGCTGGTAGCTCTAGTATTTGATTTGAAAACTATACATTCTGCCTTCTGTACAGCTCTGGGCTTGAGTTGCATGCTATAACTGTTTTCCAGTATAAATGAATGAATACCCATGAATAGAAGCTTGCTGGTAGTTCAGTGATTGGTCTCTTAATCATGGCTTCAGAGAGCCGTAAGGAGAGGAGTCCTTAATCAAATTACTTCCTGTCTTTCTCCATATGCAGCTTCCATATTATTTGGAAAAAACCTGTTTTTCCATGTAATCATCAAGCAATAAAATTTAGCCCACAGTTCTCAGATGTTTCAATGTTTTTCTCTCTCTTTCCCCCAGCTCGAGGGAAGAACAGGAGGCAAAGCATATTTTAAATCTGGATTATTCGATCCAAGCAACGCCAGGGAGTTCAGAACACTGAGCAGGGAAAGGACCACATAGATCCTATGAAGCCTGTTCCTAGAGTGACGAAGGCTGGTATCTGCAGCACAGGAGCTCTCCCTTGATCCCAGGCCACTGCACTGTTGTTGTCCAGAATTCCACAACTTTCACCAGATCAAGTCCTGGGGCCTGGTCCAGTCCCTCATTCTTCATATAGCCATCGGTTCCCCCCCCATCCCCAGGCGCAAGGACCTTCACCAAGTGATTACTGCCCCCTGTGTATGGTCCTGAAATACCATGTGCTGGCCATTGCTTTTAGAGGGAGGCAAAATGGAGGCGGCAGGCAGGGGCCAGGACATCACTGCACAATCAACACCTGCTTTGCTTCTGAGGTTTGGATGCCCCGTCCTGATGAATGTACTGAATCCCATCGTTTATTTTTCTTCATCATGAGATGACGCCTTTGAGGATTGCCTAGGGTGACCTGCAGACGTGATGAATACGATATTAACAGTGGGGAAACCCTTTGATCCACTCCATGCAGAGCTCTCTGGCTTTGAACTGAAAAAGAGACCTTGAGAATTTAACTAGGGGGAAAATGCCCATTTTCCTTTGAGTTTCTTCTGCTCTGTTTGTGAAGAACGAATGCTATTTGTGAATGGTGCAAACATAGGGTAGGAGTAAGGAGGCCCCTTGCTGGATTTTCTTGGTCCTCTCATTCCTTGCCTTGCCCTGTTCCTCAGGCTTTGTTTTTTTGAACTCAAGCTGCTCTGCCAGGAGCTCCAGAATTAGATTTTTCTCACAACAGCATTTATGGTTGCCAAGCATAATCTAAATCGTGTTTTATTAGATTTATACCCAGTGATTCTGAGAATCTCTCTTTAACATCCCAAGATTCATTCATCTAAAACCCACCACTAAATAAATAGATGCACTTTCCTTGGGGGGGGGGAGATTATTTTCCAACCAAGTAACTCAAGGACTGTAAGAATGTCTGAGCCTCTATTAAACCTCATTGCAAAATGTGAAAGAATTCAGGTTGTTCTTCCACTTGGTGTTCCAGATTCTTGTAGTGAATTTTGCCTTTTGTGGCAAGTACATTCAATAATGTTTCACCCTATATTTCCTGTCTATATCACATGGGAAAGAAGCTGAACAGAAAACTTTCACCAAGATGTTGAGTCTTTAATATGTATATATGGGGGAAAATTCACTCAGAAATTAGACGTACACACAACATGCATGCACACACAGAGAGAGTATAAATTTGAACAGATCTTGAAAATTTAAGAATACATGCACGAGTACACTGTTTCTGTGTGTATTATGTAGAGGAATTGTGTGTGTACGCATTCTTAGGTTTTCAGGACAAGCAGTTTTCTCAATGTTAAAAATAGATTGCTTTTATATTGTACTTCATTGTAAACTGAGGAACAGGTGGTATCTATTTGGAACACTTTCCAAAAGTGTTCCAAATAGAGACCTGTTCTGAAACTGCCTGTCTTGTAAACTTGAAAAAGGCCTCTGACTTACTCCCCACCCCTTTTACTGGTTTATTTTCATTCTAACTGTCAAGTAGCCATCACGTGGGTGAGGGGAAATCAGTCTGAAATCTTTTTAGAGAATAAGCAGCTGGTTCTAGTGATCAGGTGATATTTCTGTTAGCCTGTTCTCTTACCCTGATTGAATGATAATCTTTACAGCCTCGGATAATAATATGACCTTTCATGACCTCAGTTTTACTGGCTGTCAAAGAAATGAAGTAATTAAGTAGTATTACTTAATAGAACTTTGTGACCATCCAGGATCTGTTCTTATTGTGAAGCCATCTCTTTGTCACATTGAAACTGAGCTCCAGGCCAGAGTATGGGAAGGGGGACACACTTTGGTTTCAGGTTCAAAAATGGCAAAGGTCAGCACCGCCTAGACCTATAGCACAGTAGTGTTCCTTTTTCGGATTGGGACTTGAGAAAGGTGACAGATTTAATTCCGCTATTGCAAGGAATTCCTGGCAAAGGTTCCAGCTCCAAGCATAGTCAGCTGAGCTGTATCAGCTTTGAATGAACCAGCTCTGAAATAAAAGAGAAGGCTACAACAAAATGGTTGGCTTGTTAGTTCAGACCGATATGTGACAGACACCACTTGGTTCTTGTTATCTCACCCAACCTCCTCCAGTTATCAGGTCACAATGTTGTAGTGATAATACAATCACAACTGGCAGTGTTCCCCTTCTATGCAACTGTGAAAGATACAGCAGTCCTGTTGGGGTCTAGACCTAGTTAACCCTATGCCCCACTTGTCTCCTTGACCCACAGTTTTGAGTCCTCTTAACTTCCTTTGCCAGTCCAGTTTGTGCCTGTCAGTGATGCACAGCCCCTCCGGTCCTTGGTATCTGCTTTGCTCATGCTCTTGTTTTCTCTTTGGCTCATCCTATCTTCAGCTTCATGGGTTGGATCCCAACTACACTTTCCAGTGACAGAATGAAACTTCCTTGCTTCTCTCTTACCACTACAGACCACTCGTCTCCATGCAATGCTGCTCCTGAGGAGTAGACCTGGAGGAATTACATGACAGGAGTCTGCAGTGGACAGTTTGAATCCAGCCTTGCATTTTAAGCACTGACTATTTTCTTCCAGTCCTACCTTTGAATGCCGTTTCCTACTTTGTCCTACTGTCTTTGGCTATCCTGGCTATCTAAGAGAAGCTGTTCAGTTCTCTTGGGCAGCATGTAACTCATTCTAACTGAGTTCTCTGGGGTTTCCTTAGAGCTCCTCGTGTTCTCTATCTCCTATGTTCTTTTTCCTCAGGCTTCTTTAATTTCTTTCCTCAGGTTTCTCAGTCTGTTGATTACTTTACATCCTTCAGTCACCTTGCTTCTGGAGCTTCTGAACCTGCCTACTTTCTAGGACTCCTTCCCCATCCTAGGTGTGCCTTATAAGACTGTGTTTTCAAGTGCCATGCTGGTGCTTTCCTCTTCCTTTACAGAATCCGAACATCAGATATTCTGACAGTTTTGTTCTCTGAGCAGCTGGCTAAACATTCTGTGCCATCAGACCAGCTCAAGCACTACGTGTCAGAAACTCCACTGGTACAAATTCAGTATGATATAAATTCCTGAAAGACAAAGTGTAACTGTAAATGGGGAATGCGCTTTCAGTAATGATCTACAGAAAAAGTTTCAGATCAGATCCCACCATTGCTTCCATGCAGCTGGTATCTGACAATAACAGAGTAGAGGCAAAGCCCTGTAAGCCCCACACGTTTTGATGGGATTTGTTTATTAGTACTTCAGAGATTATCTGTTATGGTTCTACATATACATCTCAATTTCTGTCTACTTGTGCACTTTGTCGTACTTTTCTTTCAAGGAGATCAGCATAGTATTCAAGATTTCATTATGCAGTTTTATCACAACACCCCATGAGGTAGAGTGGAATGGGAGACTGGCCCAAGGTCATCCAGTGAACCTTATGGCTGAGCTGAAAGTAGAATTTGGGTGCCCCCCAGGCTTCTTCCAACATAAAGGTAAAGGTTCCCTTGCTTGAAAGCCAGTCGAGTCCAACTCCAGGGTTGCGGTGCTCATCTCCGTTTCAAAACCTAAGAGCCAGCGCTGTCCGAAGACGTTTCCGTGGTCATGTGGCCGGCATGACTAAACACCAAGGTGCACGGAACGCTGTTACCTTCCCACCGAAGTGGTACCTATTTATCTCCTTGCAATTTCTTGCTTTCGAACTGCTAGGTTGGCAGGAGCTGGAACTAGAGATGGGAGCTCACTCCATCATGCAGCACCCGAGTCTCAAACTGCTGAACTACTGACCTTCCACAGCCTGCAGTTCAGCGTCTTAACCACTTGAGCCACCGCAGCTCCACTTTCACAATACCAAACTATTATTAACTTCATTTATTCCTTGCTTTTCTCCCCAGTGGGAATCCAAAGTGGCTTACATCATTCTCTTACATCATTCTCTTCTTACATCATTCTCTTCTGCTCTGCTTTATCCTCTTAACAACCCTGTGAGGTAGGTTAGACTAAGAGCATAACTGATCCAGGGTCACCCAGGAAGCTTCCATGTCAGAATGGGGATTCAAATCTGGGTCTCCCAGGTCCTGTGACACCAGTACTAAAGAAGCAAGACAGATGGTCTACAAGATATGATATGTATATGGGTCCCTGTATGAAGTATGCCGTACTTCATGACTTTTAGGGTCTGACTTACAAGGATCCTGTATTTACCCTGTTTTTCCCCTGGTGTTCAGATGCAGAGATCGTCTGCTGATTCACCTATTGTGCTGATCATTCAACTTTTAAAGGCATATGAGTTCTGCTATACTCATATACCCCAAAATACTAGCAATCTCACTTGAAGTAGGAACAGACTTTGTACTGTTTTTTCCTACAGTGTGAACATACATTATGACCCCTGATTTTTCTGCCCAATTCTTGCTTCAGCAACAAGTTTGGTGCTAGTTTGATGTAGTGGTTAGGAGTGCAGACTCTAATCTGGGAGAACCAGGTTTGATTCCCCACTCCTCCACATGCAGCTGCCTCACAGGGTGTCTGTTGTGGGGAGGGGAAGGGAAAGGAGATTGTAAGCCACTCTGAGACTTTGAGTTAAGGGTGGGGTATAAATCCAATCTCTTCTTCTCTCATCAACAAGTGCTGAAAATGGTGATGGTAGAGAACATGAACAGTTGAATTGCCATTTCTGCAGACAAAGTGGGCAATTAGCTGTAGAAGCAGAGGCTCAGCAAGGACTTATGGGTGGCATCTCATTTTCCCCTCCCTCACTGTTTCTTCTTTTCCTTCCCTGAAAGCCCCCAGACTCTCCCTTTTCCCAGCTTCCTTCACTCCTTCCCACCTACCTTTATCTACCACCCCCCATCTTCAGCTTTCCCTCTTTCCTTCCCCTGGCAGCTTCTACCTGGGAGAACTATGGCCCAGTTGCACAGTTCTGGCCACTGGGCTGGGCCCAGTTGCGCAGTTGGGAACCTGCAAGGCCTCACTTTCCCCTGTATCCCCCTTACCACACTATTTCCTCTTTCACTCCATCTGGCAACCTTTCTGTGCTTCCTTCTCTCCTTTCTACTCATCAATCAACCTATCTTTTATCCCTCCCCCTCCAGCTGTATTTATTTCATTTAAACCTCACCTTTCTCTATAAAGGGGACACAAAGCAGTTTACATTGTTCTCCTGCCCATTTCATCCTCACAAGAACACTGTGAGGTAGGTTAGGCTGAGAATGTGTAACTGGCCCAAAGTCACCCAGTGAAATTCCGCAACAGAGTGGTGATTTGAACCTGGGTCCCCCAGATCCCACTTCGAAATTCTAACCGTAACACAACACTGACTTTCACAGGGTGGCTGCAGTTGAACAGTACCAAGCAGCCCATCATGGGTGAGTCAGAGAAGTCACGTGGTAGCAAGTTGCCTGGTGGTTGCTGCTGGGCCTGGCCCCAGTGAATCCTCCCCCAAAGGCCCAAACAGCCATGGAAAGGGCCCTGCCCCCTCCTCATGCTCTTTACTGGCAAAAACCAAGGTTTCAGGGCCGCACCACAGCATTCATTTCTTAAAGCTACAGGTGCTG